GGAAAAAGGAGTTAAACCAAAAAGCAAAAAGAAAAAAGCACCGCCAACAGTAAATGCGACATTTTTTTTCTTTTTTCATTTTCCCGCCTTTTTCCTCCTGCACGCGTGCGTGTCGGTTGCCTTGATTGCCTTGCCACTTCCATACGGAGAAAAAGAAAAATACAAGCAGCGGCGTGCTACCACGGCAACTGGACCCACACCGCAATGAGTGTCTCCCACGCAAAGTACAGGGCGTCGAAGCCGTTGCCGTCGATGTCGCCGAGCGGCAGGGGCCCCTCCATCGGGAGTGCGGCATCACCGGCGCCTCCCTCCGCCGCCTCTGTGAACGCCGGTGCGGGCGTCGTCAGGGCCGCCGCGTCGCCGTGCAGGGGAGTGGGGGGTGCTGCGAAGATGGCGTACGAGGGAAAGGCGTCGCCGTTCCCGGGCATGAGCAGCAGACACAGCGCGTAGGCAAAGAGAACGGTGTGCAGCAGCCACATCCCCCACCCGGGCCCGCACAGCTGCCACCAAATGGCAATGTTCACCACGCACACCTCCCGCACCTTCGCCACGAAGGCAAGCGCGTAGCTGAGCTTCGGCGTGTACCAGCGGCGAATGGAGGCCTCGCGCCGAGCCGCGCTCACGGCGACGTGCACCACGCTGTCGTACCACGCCTTTGCCAGGTTCTTCACCGGCGACGCCACCGTGACCCAAAATTCCTGCCAGGCTCGCCACCACTTCAGCGTCAGCGATGTCCCCTCCACCGCGACGGGGATCACAGGGGCGCTGCCAAACTCCCAGGAGGCGACGTGCGCGACGAGGAGGAAGGGCCCCACAAAGACCATCTTCAGCGTCACAAAGAGGAGCCGGACGAAGGAGCCGATGATGAAGACGATGGACCACAGCAACTCAAACAGCAGGGCAAAGGGCGTTTGCAGGAATCCTGCGAGAATCCGCAGGGGATACAGGATGACTTCCAGAATGTAAAACTGCGACAAAAAGCTCGTGAAGGAGGCAGCCACCGTAACACCAACCGAGATGATGTAGGTTACCAGCATGGAGACGCGGAACGTGAAGTGCTCGTCAACCCACCCGAGTAGTGGCGCCATGGTGGTGGACAAAAACGTTTTCATCTGTGGCAAATGCTTGTAGAGATCGTATAGCCCCACGAAGAGAGAGATCAGGGGCCATATGTTCACCAGTCCTACAAAAATCAGACGAAACACGCGGCGGTACGGCAACCCAGTAGAGGCGAGAAAAATTGTCCACGCTGGCATGCCTGTTTCGTACATGGAAAGCATGCGGCGCTGCTCCTTAAGCGACACCGTGTAAGGATGGGTCCCTGGTTCTGGCATCAAAACCTCCCGCAACACCGCATTGAAGTTTGGGTCCTCCGAGTACACGGTGACGATGGTATCAAAATGGGCCGTGGTAAGCGTGGGCAACAGACGGGGGCGAATGACTGGCTCGCCGACGGAGGCACGACTTCGCGCGGCGGTTGGGTGTGCAGCTGACAGTGTGAGGCCGTCTCGGTGCCTGGGGTGACGCACGTCCGCGAAGGACCCATTGCCCCGCATGGTTGCGGCGTTTCCAGTAAGCGAGTGCCGATCCAGCCGGCTGTAACGCGGGTGGCGCTCGAGTTGCTGCGCGTTCCCAGAGAGCCGCAGGGACTCCGGCGAGCTCGGGTATAGCAGCTGGGCCTCATTCCAGGGCGTCTGCCTTTCCGTTTGGTCGTCGGCGGTGATGCAGCTTTCGTCCATGGTTGTTGTGGGAAACGACTCCGTCGTCGCCTCTCCGCGCGCCGGCGGCGGTGTCTCCTTGCCCAAGCCCAAGCCCACCGCACTGCCATGCGGCGTCGGGGGCGTCGCTCCCATCGTTGCCTGCGCCAAAAAACTATCCCCGCCGCACACGTTCTCAAAGGCGACAAAGGCACCGCCTTGGCTGGGCCTGTAGTGACTGCCGCCCTTGTGGTGAAGCGGCATTCGGTTAGTGACCCCGCGTCGGATCTGCTCCTCCATCCGGCGAAGCTCTTCCAGGCAGTCGTAGTGCGCAAACGCCTCCTGCACGGAGGCAAAGTAATAGGCATACACCGCCTTCGCCTCAATGGCGAACCTACTCGATGACAGCCGCGGGCCGTAGTCTGTCGCGGTGACATCTTCGTGCCGCACCTCAATGACTTCCACCCCCACAGTTTTTGCTGCGCCGCCTTCGCCGCTGCAGTGCGTGGTGTCGGCCTGCTTTGGCTCTTGCCTCTCGCTGCGACCGTGTGGCGAGCACGGCGGAGTGACAACAACGTCGCCCGCGTTCCGCGCAAGCGGCTCCAAAGTGGGGCTGGCGGCGTCCTCGTCCTGCAGCAGCAGCCGCGAGAGTGAGGCGCTTCCCCTCGCGTTCGCCAAGGCGGTGCCTGCGGCGCCAAAGGGCGGTTGCTTGAACAGCTTTCCCTTATTGTAGGCAAAGGCCGGGGGTGGGCCGTAGATGTGGTCGCGGAATTTTTGCCAGCGTCCGACGGACCCGTCCGCGGACTTTGGCTCCACCGGGCTAACGACAAACACGAAACGGTCCCGTGGCTGGGCATTATGAAGCCACCGCACTTGATGCCCAATGACCTCCCCGTCTTGCAGGCGACGGTGGCTAAAGTAATCCCACCCACCCGCCACCGTGCGCCAGCCGCCAAGCACCAAATAGTGCAGGAGAAGAGGCGGCTGATTGTCGATGCCGTCAGGGTAGAAGACACTCCAGTGCTTCGGAGTTGGCATGGCCTGGATGGGGCGCGGACGGGCGTGCAGCGGTGAAACAACAGGCGCGGATCTCTCGCCTACAGACATCTGAGACGCCGATTGCCCGTAGGACGGGGCCCGCGCCGTGGATCCTCCTCCAGCTGCCGGCTTTGCCGCGGATGAGCGAAGGGAGCCCGCCTCACCCCTTGCGCCCTCCAACGTTGTGGGGAAAGAAGGTTCACATACGCCCCGCAGCAGCGGCGGCCGCTTTTCCTCCTTTGAGGTCTCCGTTTCCTCCGCCCCGCTTCTGCCAGCGCCACGACCCGCCTTGACCGCCGCCCCATCGCTCGCCACCAGAGGACGGGGGAGCTCGGACACCAAAGCCGCACCTCCTGTCGGCAACTGCGGGTCCCTAAGGCGCGCCGCGCCGCCGCCGTTACGGTCCAAGGGAGCAAAGTGAAGCTCCCTCTCCACGCCTTCTGGCGGATGCGACGACGTTGCCCTCATCCTCGGCTCCGGCATTCTAAAAGACATATATATATATATATATATGTAGCTTGTATGGATCTCACTGGACTTCTACCAGGAAGACCAGAATCGTTCACCCGCGTGATCCTCCGTCTCTCACTTTACCTCGTTCCTCCTTGCCCTGCCCTTACACTTGCCCAGTATTTACTTATTCACCGCCTTTCCGTTTCCGTTTCGGCTTTTTTGTATTTTTTTTGTTTTTTTCTTCCCCCAGTTGCGTCGGTGTAGCTAATCCAAGAGACACACCTGTATTTTGTATATAAGTTTATCTGTACGCCTGTATGGGTGTGCACACACGCACGCCCAGAAACAGATAGAGCCTCTCTCTCTCTCACACACTCACTCTCTTTCTGTGGGTGTGGGAGTCTGCGGGTGGCGGGGTGGTTGTGGACGGCGGCGACGCGCCCTTTCGCCCCTTTCCGCGCTGCCGGACAGGAGGCGGAGCTGCAGGGACTCCCGTTCGCGTTGCCCGCACACCGACGCCCTTCACTACTCGCCACGGCGCCGCGCCCCCCGCCCCACAATAAGCGGCAGAAAAAGAAGAAGAAAAGAGGCGGAGCAGCCGTGACGGCCGCGGGCAGCCAGCCGCTCTGCGGGGGGCAGGTGGGGAGTGCGCGCACCAGCAGCACTGGCACGCCGCCCACAGCGTCCACGCAAGAGTGTGGGTCCGGCAACCTCGGCAGCACCACCCAGGCGCCTCACAGAAGCAACACATATGAAACACACACACACACACACAGTTATGCGAATAAACTACATAAATATACATATGCGTCTTGATTGCTGCGTGACGTTTGCCCACCCCCGATACCACACGGCCCCGCTACGGCTGTTTGGCCGCGTGGCCAGGACGGAGGTCGTTGCAGCAGCAAGAGGTCAACGGCGCATCATGCAGCGCCAATGCAGCACAGGTGAAGCTGGATAACGATGAAACAAAAAGGAATGAGGGAGGACGAGAAGTATCCTCGCTCCCCCCTCCCCAAAAGGAGATAAAAAAAAAGGATCACGCACACAAACATTTTTTTTCCTATCCTCCTTCTTCGCCCTCCTCCGTAGTGTTGAGCAGAGCTTACTCTACTTCGGCGTGTTCGTCGGCGGGGGACATGGGCGTCCACACGCGGTAGTGAAGCTCCAGCTGCTCCGGCACGTACACCACCACCGGCAGCCTGCTGTTGTAGCGGATGAACGGCCTATCCGCCAAGGCGACAAATCGCCGCACCGGCGGAGTGCCCGGCGGCACCGCCATCGCCGTCGACCTCATCGCTCCCGCCTCCACCACGTAGTAGGGGTAGCCCCAGCCGGCGATGAGCCGCTCCTGCACGCTTCCCTCGATGGAGTGGGCGTTGACGGGGTCGACGTCCAAGACGCGCCCAGGGATCAGCTGCAGCTTGTAGTCGTCCGCCTCCTCCTCGTCGCCCTTCGCGTCAAGGAAGATGACGTAGCGCCGCTGCTCGGGCGTGGGCTCAGGGTAGGGGGCGCCGTAGTCGGCAAGTTTCTTCGGCGGCGCAGACATGTTCTGCTCCTCCCCGCGTCGGCCGGCGTGGTTTGGCGGCAAAATAAATAAAAATCAATGAGGCTTCTCTGCAGGGGCGTGTGTGTGCGTGCGGGGAGGCGCAGCCACATAACAGAGAGAGAGAGACAGAGAGATGCCGTGCAGAGGGGAGAAAGCGAAGCCCAGCAGCAATACACACAACACGAAGGGAAATAGCGGGGACAAACAAACGAAACAAAAAAAAAGGAACAACAACACGGCGAGGACGAACCTACGGAGTCGACGCCAAACGTCCCGCTCCCCCCGCCTTTGCGGGAGGGTGGCGGGTCTGGGCTACCGCTTCGCGGTCGCCGACGCATTCTCTTCGGCGTCTTCGACGGCCTCCTCCCCCTGCGGGGCGAAGGAGCCGAATTGCGCGTTCCACTCCACGTACCGCCCCACCTCGGAGGCGCCGACGCTCGGACGGATGCGCCTTAAGGCCTGGACAAAGTCTTTTCGTTGAATGGGCCGCAACTCGCTGAGGGAAACGTCGATGAGGCGCATCGTGACCTCCCGCAGCGGCCCCATCGCCGCCTCACGGCACAGCTGCTTGATGTCGGCCCCTGAGTAACCCGCGGTGGAGGCTGAGACCTCCGCAATATCCTTCTCATCTAACGCGTGTACGACGCACGCCGCATTCCTCTCTCCGCTTCCCTTCGCTGCATGGTTTTCATCCTCCTCTTGCTGCTGCTGCTGCTGCTGCTGCTGCTCCATCGTGTGAAGGAGTCGCTTGACGAGCTCGATGCGGGCCGGGCCGTCGGGGAGCGGAATGTACAGTCGCTTTTCCATGCGGCGACGCGCGGCCTCGTCGAGCTCGTCAGGGCGATTGGTGGCGCCAATGAGGAGGACGCGGTCGCCGCGGTCGGTCGCCACGCCGTCGAGCTGCACGAGGAATTCCGTCTTGACGCGTCGAACGGCGTCCATCTCCCCATCGCCGCGCACGGAGAGCAGGGAGTCGATCTCGTCAATAAATATGACGCTTGGCTGCTTCACCACGGCCACCGCAAAAAGGCACCGCACCAGCTTCTCCCCGTCGCCCATCCACTTTGACATGAGCGAGGAGGCACTGATGTTCAAAAAGGTGCACTGCGCACGGTTGGCGATGGCGCGGGCGATCATCGTCTTCCCGGTGCCAGGCGGGCCAAACAGCAGCAGCCCGCGCGGAGGGTCACGGAGGCCCACGAAGAGGTCAGGTCGGCGCAGCGGCCACACAATCGCCTCCTCCACGCTCCGCTTCGCATGCTCCAGACCGGCAATGTCGTCCCAGCCCACGTTGGCGGCCCCCGCCCCACACTCCAATATCTCCATCGCCACCTGCGTCACCAGCTTTGGATCGAGCGGCCGCAAAATGGGCGGCACCGACCCATCCGCGAGAAGCAGCGACGCCGGGAACTCGCCATGGTCACTGTCACTGTCGTCGCGGTCCCGTGCCGTGCCATGCCCACCACGCGCAGGCTGCTTGTGGACGGAGCTCAGTACTTCGCCGACGGGCACAGTGGCGGCCGCGCTCGGTCCGTCACTCCTTGGAGGCGGCGTCTGCCGTCGCTGTTGCTGAAACGGCGGGGTGAAGCCGGAGCGCCGCAGGCCTAGCGCAGGTGGCCGGCACTGCAGCGAGAGACCCGAGGGCGCCGCTCGTCCCGCCCGCACATCCGCCACCAGCTGCTCACCCGCAGTGACGAATCCACCGCTGCCCTGCACGCCCATGTTGGCGGTCGCTTCCGCACCGTCGCCCTCGCGCCTCCGCGAGAACCCCGCGCGAATCCCACCCCGCGGCTCTCTTGCGCTTGCGCCGCGCCTGGCGCCTTCGGCAGCAGCGTTTTCGCCGCCCTCAGCCACCGGCCAACGTCCAAGCGACGGGTGCGCTCTCTGTGCGGCGCCACAGGACGGAGGCGCGGTCGGCTGCGGGTTAAGCGCGGGCTGCAGCTGCAGCTGCGGGGCGTGCGAGGGTGTGACGAGTGGCTGCGCCAAAGAGAGCTTCCCGCCGCAGTCGAGGTGCAGTTTCATTTGCCCCTTGGGGTGAGGCTCATCATGAAAAGAACAGCCGCCGCTCACGGCGGCTCCGGGCTCGCGCTGCGGCCCAGGCGGCGGCGGCGGCGGCTGCTGCTGCAGGCCGAAGTGGTTGGCCGGATGCCCCCACGGCACGCTGGCCGTCGGCCCCGCCCGCTCGTTCTGTCGCGCGCGAAGAAGACTGCCGTCGACCTTTAGCGTGAAGAGCGGCCCCGCGCCCGGCCGCGGCCCCTGCACCTCCGCTTCCTCCGCCGCCCCCGCGCGCGACCGCTTGGCTCCCAGCGTGCCGTGAGGAAGAGGGCGACGCCGCGGCGGCGGGTCCGGCACGACCCCGGCAGTGGCCGTCGGTCCCTCCAGCAAGACCGCCAGCAGCGCCGGGAACGACTCCCGCAGGCGGCGTATCGTTTCCTGCACGTCGGGCGGCTGCCTCTGCGACGACTGCCAGGCGTCCGTCGGCGGGGCCTCGTTGGGGGCGCACTCGTCCGCCAGCACGGAGGCCGTGGCGCCGAGGGCCATGCTGCGACTCATCCAGAGCAGCTGGGCAACGTCCCCCGCACCGCCCAGGGGCGACACCGCCGCCGCCGCCGCCTCGGCTTCGTCGCTCTGGTGGGGCCCGTGAGACGCGGCCGCGAGGGTGACAGCGCGCAGGTGGTCCTGCACGGCATGGGCGATGAAGTGCGTCAGGCGCCGCTCCGCCGACGCGCCCTCCGCCGCCCTCTTCTCCCGCGCCTCGTGCAGTTGGGTGAGGTGCCGCTCGCTCGAGGCAACCGCGGCAAATGCGGCGCGCTGCAGCCGCCGCTGCGCCGGCGGTGACGGCGGCGCGGAGTTCTGCTCGCGAAGCCCGCGCAGGCAGGCAAACATCGTCGCCAGCGTCAAACCCCACGCGCCCCTCTTCTCGCAGACGCACGCGAGGCTCCGAGGAAGGGAAAAACAAAAAAAAGCACACACACACACACACACACACACACACAGGCCTCGGTGCGCGGGAGCCCTACGACTACGCGAGGGGGGGGGTCAAGAAGAAGGGACAAAGAAAAAAAAATAGTAATAATAATAATCATAATAATAAATGAACGACGTCAAGGCGGCCACGCAGAGAAAATCGCTGCACCCGCGGCGCCGCAGCGCGTGCGCGTGGCAGAGAGGCGCAACCTCCACGAACGAAGCAAGCAAAAAAAAAAGTCAAGGCGACCAAAAACAAAGAAACAATAAAAAACACACACACACACATACACGCACACACACACCGTCATGAAACGTTCATCCGTGCGGCCCATCATGACGCCGCCTGCGGCGTCCCTCTTCTCTTCTCTTCTCGGTTTCATCGTCCCCTTCCACCCGTCCAGCCCTTTGGGGGTGGAGTCATGAAGCGCAGGACTGCAGGGCGCAGAGCAGTAGCAGCGTCAAAACCATCGCCTCTCGCATTAGCCAGAGGGCGGCCGTGCCGTCACGCATGGCGCTTTCCACGGCATCCAGGCACACAGAGGGGCTTACACGAGCATCCGCGGGCGTAGGCCGCCCCAACTCCGCCGCCTCCGCCGCAAGAAATTTCTCGCAGAAGAGCTCCATCGCCGCTTTCGCCCACGCATCCAGCGCCGTTCTCTCGAGCTGCAGCCGCTGCTCAGGCAGGGGCGGAGGCCGCGGCGCCCCGTCATGGACCTGCCCCACCCCTGTGCGCAGCAGCGGGGTGAAACACTGCGCCAGAAACGCAGAAACCCCACACTCCGCAACAGAACTGGACGACGACGGCAGCAGCGGCAGCGTCGTGGGTCGAGTGAGATGTTCATCACACCAGCACCGTGCCGTCGCCAGCGACTCACGAAGGGCTTGCTGCAGCGTTATCACGCAACGGCCATTCGAATAGACTACATTCCCTGGAGGCACCAAGGCATCGACCGCGGTGGCGCTGTCGTGAGCGGAGGAGTACGGCCCGAACACCTCGCAGGGTATGGCACGCCGCACGGAGCGTCGAAGCTCAACCTCAGTTTGGCGCCAGGCCTCTGCAGAGGGCAGCTCCACGGAGGACGACGGCACTGAGCTTGTCGAAGGCGCCGTCGCCGTCGCGGCAGGCGTGAGAGCCTTAACTGCCACCTTCGTCGCAAAGTGCGCGAGGGCGTCTTTTGCCCACCCTGCGCCTGCAGGTGCCGCCCGCTGTTCTAAACTGGCGTGAAGCTGCTGCAGAATACTTTGCTGCCGCCGCCGCCTGCAGCTCGGCGAAGCCGCACGAGAGGCAGCCACAGCAACAACCGTCGCGTGTTTCTCTTCGGGCAAAGAAGAGCTGCCTGTGTTTTCACCCCGCGACTGCCGGGGCGGCGCACCGACGGGGGCAGAAGTGGCGATCGCCGCCGTCGCAGGCTCCGGCTGAATTTTGACCGCCCCAAACCTTGAGCGGGGCGCCCTCCCCGCCTTCTTCACCGCGTGCCTTCGCAGCGAGGCCACCGCCACCGCCTCCACGGGTCCGCTGGAGGACGCGGAGGAAGAGGGTCTCTCTGCGGCCGCCTCGACGGGTCGCAAGAGGTGCCCGCAGAGCTGCCCCGAGATCTCCGCGGACGCGTGCTGCGGCCGCACATCGTGCGCCTTATCACGGGCCGCCGCCGCGACCCCGCGGTGGTGCGCCGAGTGCGCACTACTAGTGGTGCTGCTGTCGAGGTTCCGCCTGTGCTCGGCGGTGGCGGAGTCGCCGTGTGTTTTGTGCGTGGAGGCAAATATCGGCGTCACCGTCGCCACCGTCGCCGTCGCACGACCGCCGGGCGCGTCGTGGTCCTTTTGCTCCCCCGGGGCAACAAGCGAGTCCACGTACGCCTTGCCGAGCTGCTGCGCCTCCGACATGAGGCTGGCCATGTAGTTTGTGAGGCTCATCGCCTCCTCCTTCCAGCCTGTGGGCGCGCCCACGGGACCCCGGACGGCGTGCAAAGAAAAAGAAAAAAAAAGTATGAAAGGGCGATCAAATCAATACGAAAAAGAGACGCCGCCGCACCACCAACGACACTCAACAGAGAACGAGAGTGTGAGAGGGAGCGAGATGGAGACGGACGACGCTGAGAAGCCGCTGACACCTCACACCCAAGCGGCCCAAGACGCCTTGCCTTTTCCTTCGGTGTCACCTCTGCCCCCCTCATTCCCTGCGGGAATTAGAGTCAACAACAATTCTCGCACCCGCGCCTGCCCTCCCTCCGTTTTTCTTTTTTTCTTGCTGCGTTTCTCTATCGCCCAAAGAAGCAGGCACCCAGATAAACACTTTTACTGCTACGTTATACATTTCTTTTCTCTTTGCTTTTCTTTTTTCCCGTTCCTCTCCCTCGCTCTGACTGCCACTCTCAGTCTTTTGAGGCCTCGGAGGGCTGCTTCGGGGGCACGATGCCGCTGTTCCGCGTCCACGCCTGCCCCCGCGGCGTCCCAACGCCCCTGAGCATCGGCAGTGTGCCGGGCCGCGCCACTTCCGCCTGCGGCAGCAATGGGTCTGGTCGCTGCTGCAGGGGCAGAGGGGCGCCGGTCGCGTTCACGAAGGCGCTGTTGCTGCGCACCGCCGGCAGTATGAAGGGGGAGGCCGTCGCGCCCCACACCACGGCGGGGACGCTGTTTGGCCTGGGGCCGCCGTCGGAGACGCGCGGTGAAGGCTGCCGCGGCGACGCCTGTCTGCTCCGCGCGGGGCTCGGCGTCGCCTCCTCGCAGAAGCGGCTGTCCTGCCGCTTCACCTCCTGCAGCGCGAGGGACTTGTAGAAGTTGGAGAAGTCGCTAAAGTCGACGAGCTCCGGCGGCCGGCTGCCCGGGAGGCCGGGGAAGGCCAGCTGCTCCACCTCGCGTCGCGTCATGGCGAGCTCGTCGCAGACGGTGAGCATCACAAACTCCACAAAGTTGCCGCGGTCCAGCAGGCCAACGCTGCCCACGTCCACGACCTCAAAGAAGCGGCGGAAGGTCTCGATGTCCTCAATGCTGAGCGGGATGTCGGCCGTGCGCTCCTTCTTTATCCGCACAATCAGCCGCCTGAGCAGGGAGAGGGAGTCCTGCTTGCACTGCGCGAGGAATTGGACGCGGAGCCGCTCCTCACGAATCGTCGACCGCCCCCGCGACGGCGACGCCTCTCCGCCGCCCAACGGCGCCGACCGCAGGGATGCGTGCGGGGATGCGGCGCCGCCACACGCCGCCTGCAGCAGGCGGATGAAGGAGATGTCTTGTAACCGCTCGCGCCCGCGCAGCCCCGCGTGCTGCTTGGCAAGGCGCTCCACGACGTCACACATGACCTTCTGAAGGTTTTCATTTCTGTCTTGCGTGCTGTACGCCGCCGCGTATCGCCGAAATTCCTCGTCCTCGAGAAGCCGCAGCTCAGAGAGGGGAACGCCGTGCGGCAGCGGTGGCAGGAACGGGTAGCTGCTAAATAAGTTCTCGCTCTCCCGCTCCTTACGCCGCGACCACGCAAGGAGGTACTGCAGGATGCTCTCCCCGCGCTCCGCACTGGTGAGGTTCAGCAGCTCCTGCAGGCGGTTATCCTGCACCAGTTCCTCCGTGCAAAACTGGGCCCAAGGCTGCGGCACGCAGCGCGGGTTCTTGACCGAGAAGGCGTCGGGGTCAATGCATCCGGTGCTAACGCTTCGCAGGGCCTCCGCGCGCACCGCCAGCTCCTGCCGCCGCCACTGCCGCGCCGCCGCCGCCCGCTTGGAGCAGCCAGGCTGCAGTGGCTCAGTTGACATTTCAATCACGCGCTGCACGGCCGCGGAAAAGAGCTCCCGCAGGTACGCCTCGGCAAGGGGACTGGGCTGCGTCGCGAACGCCTGCGAGATGTCGTCGTACTTGAACACTGACGCCATCACGTCCGCGTCGCACTCCAGCTCATCGACGGTGACGTTGCGGGAAAGGCGCGGCCGCGCCTTCATCAAAGCCTCAAACATCAGGCGCCGCTCCCGCTCCAACTCCTGCGCCTCCCGCCTGTCCGCGGGAAAGATCTGCGAGGGGTCAAAGGAGCAGCGCCGCCGCAGCCGGCTGCGCAGAGGCAAGGAGACGACATCGTCTGCAATCGAAGACGACTCGTTTTCCGCCACCTGCGTTATGGACCCAAGCGGCCGCAGCGGAAGCGTGCGGGCCCGCCGGGGCGACGGCTCCAACTCTTGCGGGCGCGACCGCAGCGTCGAGCCCAACACGCGCCGTCCAAACCACGGGAACTCGTCCCGCATCGCATCAGGGATTTCGCCGTGGTCATCCTCCTGCAAGTCTGTCACCAGCAGCAGCGCTTTGCGACCGGCGTGCTTCTTCTTCGGGCGTCGCCTTTTTTCATCCGGCGGCCTGGGCGGCAGACCCGTCAAGGCCCCCGCCGCCACTCCCTCCTCGCCCCTGCCTCCCTCCGAGGGGAGGGGGAAGAGCTTTGGCAGCGTCAGCGGCGGCGGCGGCGGCGGAAGTTCGGTCACACTCAAGTTGTGTGTGCGGACGTCATTCATGCTGCGGCGGGCCCACCGGACGCAGGAGGGCGATTGCGCACGCTCGTCCCTCGGCCGCGGCAGCCCCCGCCACGCTCCCCGCGGCGGAGGCGGGGCCTCCGGCGCCTCCTCCTGCAGCTGAGCGGCGCCCTCCGGCTCGGGCACGGGGGCCATCAGCATCGGCACGCTGGCGCTCCTTCGCTGCCGCCGCGGCGCTCGCTCCTCCTGCTTGGGGGCACGCCTTGCGGGAGCGCGACGGTCGGCCGCCGGCTCCTCCAGCTGCTCCGTCCCCGCCTCCACCATCTCCCCCGCCTCCAGGTCGGGGATGCTGCTCACCGTCAGTTGCGACGCACTCTTTCCAGACCCCCGGCGCAGCTTCATGCGCCGCCGCAGCACCTGCTTCCTCCGCTTTTTCTTTTCCGCGCGCGCCTGCTGCCGCTCCGCCTCAGCCTCCGCCTGTTGCTGCGAGGCTCCCAAGCCCCCTGCCGCGACGGCCACCGAGGCAGCCAGTGCCTCATCCACGGAGAGGTGAGTCTCCCTGATCGCCTGCGCAGCCGCCGCCTCCTCAGCAAGCGGGCTGGCGTCCACGTCGAGGATGGCCTCCATCGACAGACCCCCGCCCCCGCGACAGTAGCGCAGGCGCCGCAGCCGCAACGTCCGCCGCCGCTCGTTGCCTGGCGCCGGCAGTCCTTCCTCTCCCTCGCTCCCCGCAGGGAAGGGGGCAAATGAAGTGGCGCGGCTGAAGATGCGGCTCGTCCGCCTGCTGTACGACGCGCTGCTGGGCAGCAGCGTGTCCCCCTCCTTGATCTCAATCGCGACGTTCTCGGGCACCTCGACGAAGGAGGGGATGGACCTGCTGCCGGCACTGGACCCTGTCCGCCTCTGCCGATGCGGCGGCGATCGGGCACGGCGAGTGCCGCGCTCCCCGTCAGGCGCCTCGAGGAACGCCACGACGCGGTGGCGCGAGCGACGCGCCAAGAGGCGGTGACGCCACCGCGCCGTCATCTCCGGCACAGTCATTTCGTTGATTTTCCTCTTCTTCGTCGCCTCGCACGCCTGCCGCGCCACCGCCACGTAGTCCGCGTCAAGGAGCAGCTCCACGCCCCGCCTCCGCTGCTCCGCCTCCAACGACTCAATCTCCGCCATCTCCGCGAACGACCGCAGCAGCAACTGCCGCTTCGTCTCCAGCTGCTGAAACGTTTTGTCACGCGCCACGGCGGGGTTGACGTCCCGCACACACATGGGACACGCCACCCGCAGCGCCTGCAGCTCCGCCGCAACGCCGCGCTCCGCCGACAGCAGCGCCTCGCTCATGCAGCGTACGGCGGCATTAAACCCATCGCCCGTCCCTGAAGACTGCAGCACATGCTGCAGTACGTCAGGGGCCACACGCAGATCCCATGGCAGCGAGGCCTCCACGTCGGGCGTCAACCCCCGCTCGCGCAGCTCAGCCAACTTACCGTCGCAACGTTGCAACAGCCTCTCTGCCAACACTCCAGCCCGCTCTTGCAGAAGCTCGCCAAACACACGAACAACTTCCAAGTCCATAACTTCATCCCCAAGTGCTGTCAACCACTTCTTGTAGTGGCCCCTGAAGTGTGCATCATCGCTTAGGTCCAGAAACCGCAGGGGGACCAACCGCACCTCGTTCGCCTCGAGGAAGGGGTTGCGCGCACGCACCGCCTCGTCCTCGTCGGCGCGGAATGCGTCCACGGCCTTCTTCGCGGCGGCGACCTCGCCCGCCCGCCCGCGCAGTTGCCGCTCCACCGCCGCGAGCGCCTCGCGGTCCTGGCCGGGACCCGCCGCCACCACTGCGTCGCGCTTGGCCACCAGCTCCTGGAACGCGGCGTCCCCCGCAAGGCGCAGGTCGCCCAGCAGCACGCCGCCCACGCGCCGCGAGAGGAACGGGCAGGCGCGGTGCTCCTCCTCCGTCGCCCGCAGCTTCGCAGCGCCCAGCTCCAGCACCCGCTCGCGCAGCGCCCCCTCCGTCGCGGCGATTTGCTCCGCGTGCTCCACCGGGTCGGCGCGCAGGCCGTCCAGCGCGTGCGACAGCACGCGGAACGCGGTGTCCTCCAGCAGACCCA